AAGTAAACCTATTTTTATCTCAGAAACTATTGAGTTTCGAACCCATGGTCACTGGGTTTTTTTTTACTCAGTTTAATGAGTTCTTCATGCCCTGTCGTTTGTGCGCAACAATTTTATTATACTCTGTATGTACTAGATGTATCTCAAGCATCATATTCTTTGTGAGGTCCATCAAAACAGTATGTATCGCGTGTTACGTGAAAGACAGCATCTGAAAGGAAGGTGGGTCTGAGTGGTCAGAGTGGAAAGAGGCCTGCACATTGTTCGTGTGTTGAGTAAATGGAAAATTCAATGACGTGAGTCTGCGGTGTGTCCACAGTACACTCCGATTTTAATGAAACTTATGTGAGACATACTTCTCAAGAAAATATTTGACACGTATTTTTTCTTATCAGCCAACATCCACTTTGAACGAATGGAAACGTTCCTGAAAGTTGAAGGTTGAAAATACATTTTTAAAAATATCTTCGAAATTAGGGGGTGTAGAAAAGAAATTTTTGTTTAATTGTTCGCCTCGAAATGAACAATTTAGATTTATTTTCTACGTCCCCTAGTTTCAGAGATATTGTAAAAAATATATTTTCAACCCTCAACTTTGTGGGATGTTTTCACCCTTTCAAAGTAAATGTTAGCCGATAAGAAATATTGCATATCAAATATTTTCTTGAGAACTATATGCTACATCTATAGAGAACTATATAAGTTCCATCAAAACCGCCGTGTCCTGTTTAAAAAGGTTTCCTTGTGAGTGGGGTGATGAGACAATGTCATTGGCTGATGATATTGAGAAGTGAGGTGTGAGCAGGGTGCGTGCGTTACCGACCCCGTGTCAAGAAAGTCCGGTTAGACCATAAAAGAATGGGCCTGCGCGCAAAGGATGGATGGTACTCAAGCGGCGCTCGACTATCTGTATTGAAGTTAATCCTCTCTTAACCAAAAATAATAGTTCTAGCCAGGAGCCACAACTTCTTAACCTAGAAATCCTGTGCTAAGATTAGCATGATATGTGAATGAGAGGGTCCCTTCTGACCCAGGAACGAATTTAGATGCAGGAAATTTCTAGCTCAGGTTCAGACAATCACAACTCATTTTTTTCAAGCGCTTTTCAAACAAAATACCATTTTTAAATACTACCTTAAAAATTTATTGAAAAAAGTATTAAATATCTACCTTAAAGTAATCGTGAAAATGTAAAAGCTAGTACCAATTAACAAAAATAACGCACAGATATAGCTCGTAAAGATAAAAAAAGATTACAAAAAATAAAAGATATTTAGAAAATATCTAAATATTTGGCACATTTAGTTACTAATCTAATATTTTAGTCATCATATTGCAACAAATTATAACTACATGATAATTTAATTACGCTTATATATTTGAATGGTAAGTATACTGTGGGTCTTCTCCAAAGAGTTTATGGGATCCAAGAATAAAGCAAAAATCTACAATAATTTTTGTTAAGACGTTTGTTGTATTCGCAATTGCATAAAAGTCTGCAGTTTAGTTACAAACAAGACAGATAACAGTACTGATGTGCCTTGTTTCCAGAATGTAAAGAACCAAAGTTACGTGGTTATCCGCCGTTTACATTTTATCTACCATTCCAACGTGTCTACTGTCCCGCGGATCGTCATGCGACACGAATCAGAACCAGGATTATACAAATGTTACGAGAAGGGACTCTAGTTTGGTCGACGAATTACGCAGAAGGCCAGTTTGATGATCCATAACGGTCATTGGGGCTTATTCGTAATGTATTAACTTGTTTCATTTCAAACAGATCTTTTTTTCTTATACGAATTGATGTACATCATGCAAAGTAACTAAGTTAATTAATTTCATAGTTGCAAGTAAGTATAGTTAAAAATGATAAATTGCTTTATTAGGAACATATTGTATATTTGACAAAAAAGTGTGAAGTTTCAAGTTACTCAATTTTTGTGAGCATATTTTACTTGATAATCGTTTAATTATATTAAGTAGTGTTTATTTTATAGCATTGTTCAGTATGTAGCACAGTATAAACAAAATTGCTCCGGCAAATTCGTGAATTTAAAGAGGTCCAGTGAAACATTTGGAAGTCGTGAAAGTTATTTCATTTTTATTCTTATTAATTAACATTCATTGGTATTTCCTTTGAAGGTTTACCTTTGGGATACCAGAAGGTAGAAATAAAAATAAGGTGCAAAGGAAGCTAAAAAACGAAATTGTGGGAGCTATGTAAATACTTTAAATCTATCACTGAAAGTACAAATACTACCAATCTCAACAATGTTTGGTATACATACTAATAATCGTTGTCATTAATACTTTTAGTTTATGTAAGTAGTTCGAATATCCTAATGGCTCTCACAACAATGTGCAATAAAGTTGAATATTTTTAATTGTACTACGAGAATCATAATTTTGCAACACTAACTTATACGGCAACTCGACATAAATTATATCTGAAAAATTCATGGTCATTCTATAATCAGCATTTAGAAAATAAATTTTGAGTTTCGGTTAGAAAAGCACACTAAAAATATTTATTTATAACTATATAACAGAGCTTAACAAACCTTATAAAACATTTGTTCCTTCTTTTTGTGTCTAAATTAAGCCGTATAGTCATTAGTATAGTCGTCTAAATAGGGACACATTATTTACATAGATACATAAGTATTATTCATGAATCTGTGATGTTATGTATACATACTTGATTCTAGAGTATATAATATTAGAACTATTATGTAAAACATTCTTTTTTTTTGTAAAGTGAGCAAATAATTATATTTAATTTGTAATTACAGGCTCCCACACATGAAACTTATTCGCGGACATATACCAGGAGAAGCGATGGGTATGAACCTTTTACTTTTTGTATGATATGAACATATCAACATATCGTATGACTAATAAAAAGGGCACAAACCCATCGCTTATCCCGAAACATATTCCGGGCGAGTCTCATCGTTTATAGGGGCTTTTATTTTCAAGTAAATATTTTATTAATTCACTTATAGTTATATGTATTAAGTATTTTATAATTCCAAGTATTTACCCTTCGTTCTTTCATGAGTCGCTGGTGAACTGATATCTAGAAATGTGATGAATTTCAAATCTAAGCTTTATGAAGTTAATGTATTCATTTTTTCTGACTTAATGGAATAAAACTTACACTTTTCTACGTGTCGTATTTTTATTTTAATGTTTGAAATTATTGGGTTTTTAGGTTTCTGTGTTATTGGACAGGAATAATACTATGATATAATTTAGTAACTAATATGAAAATTATTTCACTTTATTCTAATGATCAAACATATGATTACATAGTCGTAGATGCTTTTAAATATAGCTTTTAACGTCTTGTATTTACTTACACAATTCAGTGTTTTTTTTTACATTTAACAATGGAGGTGTTTCGAATAAAAGGAGACTTATTCTTTACATAAAAATGTTCATTTGAAGACATAGCTAATCTTCAAACTCTATATGAAAAAATGTCTGGAAATGTAAATATTTCTACAGAAACTTCAAAGACGTTAAATATAAGTTAAAGAAATTGACTCTTTTCCTGAATAACGCTGAATATTGAGTTGAATTACTATCGTAACGACTGATTATCAGTAGGTTAAACTAATCTCGCTCGCGGCGGTAATATTTCTGAAATAGTAAGCCGAGCAAGAGATCGCCATCATAAATGCAGTCGACAATGGGAGTCCTTTTTAAATAAATTTAAAAATTTACTTCGAGAGAAAGTATTCGTACAGTGACTACTTTAAAATCCCTAATGGATAACTCTATATCCATGTCAATAACCAATTTTAACGAGAAAAATGTTTAATAAATATTCTTAGATGTTGATATAATAGATTTCGTCTGGACAAAGTTTTATTCCCCTTAACATTTACAAAAATATCAACAAAAACAGTCAAGTGCGCAGAAATAGACGCGTAGAAAGTATTTGTTGAACATCTCTTGTTTCTTATAATTGAGATCTAAACACAACATGTCCTTTCGAATATACCAATTACCAAAAAAGCTTGTCAGTTTCCACAGAGTGTTTGTAGAATCAAACAGAAATTATAACATTTTCTTAACATAGGTCTTAAAGGTCGAAAAGAACGGAAAAAGAGCAGAAAATTATTATTCGCTTGCACTAAGAATATTCTTAGCTATTTATTCAATTAATGTTAAATTGCAACGCACAATCCAAATAATTATTTATTTACAAGTATCTCTAAAACATATATTCGCATATTTCTCTGCTTTACGTATTTCGTCTTTCCTTCTTTTCTTCTCTTTACGTTTTTTCGCTTTCAGTTTATACAGTATTTTCTTCTCGTTCTCTTTTCTCTCACGAATCATTTTGTCTATGTAAGTTGAAAATATCTTTAATACTAAATGAATAGATTACTGACGGTATTGAAAATTACATTATAATTATGTTACCTGCACTTTTAGTATCTGTACTGCATTTACAACATTCGCACTGTTGATCTCCTTTGAAAGCAGTTGGATATTTTTGTCGTTTCTTAGAAACAGCTTTCTCCACAATTTTCCTGTATTCAGTGTTACATAATATGTCAAAAAACATAATCGAAATTAAATGTACACTGTAACTTGTAATATGTACAATAAAATTTAACTAAATAAATGTACTAGTTGCATTATATTTTAGCTTAAAATATTAATTATGTGGGTATGAGTGACAACATAGGTGTGTTAATACACCAGTGTGTGTAAACATATTCGATTTGATTTTCTTTCATTTCATTAATATTTAATCAATAATTCTAATAATTAGAGATGTGGTTGTTCTGTAAAGCAATAAGTTAAAAAAAAAATTGTGCACGCATGTTCACTCAACAAAATCACACACACTCACACGTGTTCGCGCATCAACACACCTATGCTCACACTCATACCCATAATTATAATTCATTTTAACTTGAAATTTACTGATATCAGTCCTTTAAATCCATAAGGTCACAACATTAAAACAAATCATAGGAAATAATAATTTGTATTTTCAATTAGTTCTTTAGAAAAAACAAATGAAATTTTGTTCTTATAAGCGGTATACTTAAGAGAAGTTAACTTAAGTAATCTAATTGTATAAAATATTTCGGTCTTCGTATATTTTTACTAAAAATGCAATCAGATTATTGCTTATGTTATATTATAATTATATATAGTTCTATCACTGGTTGAATTACAATATTATCAATTCGCTTCATAAAAATATTATAAATAAATACGATATTGTTTTATAGATAGATATGAGTTTTCTGTGGCATTGGAATAGTTGGGAGACAGTTAAAACAAAATATTTGCTCTTTTTTTCATTTTTCAATTCTGTCATACCAATAATTTTCTGATATACGCACTTCCTATCCCGATTTTCCAAATCCTTTCGTTTCTTTTTGTCTTGAAAACTTTTCTGCAGAAAACTGAATCGTTTTTTCTTCGGTTTATCCTTTCCCTTTTGTACGCCGATGGAATTCATGTATTTATTAGAAGTATCAAAAACATCATAAATTTGATTACAAAATGGACATTTTCCTGTGCACGTAACGTTCACATCCGAACAGGAACATTCAACTTCATCGTTCCATTCCACATTATCGGTTAAAGTATCCTTATCTTCTTTATTTCCATTCCAATTATATCTGAGCAAAAAATATTTTAATTGTTTTGTACAGTAGTATTCTTCAAACTTATAAAGAAATCTAAGTCTTAATTTTTTACGAATATAAGAAGTTACATTATTTGTGGGTTAAATATTAGTTGCTTGTTACACATGTTTTGTACCAATGTTGTTCGACGAAAATGTACTTATTATTTTTAATGATATAAAGTACATTTTCGTTGATACTCCTATGGGATGTTTACATGAAATCAGTAATATTTTATTCGTAATTTACGTATACCTGACATCAAGAATTTATTATTGTTTAATTTTCATTCTTAAATTTAAAAGTTTTCTTATTACTTTCTTTACATGAAATATTATCTGATTATTAGAAGTAACGAAGGTGTTCAGGTACTAGTACGAATAACAAGTCTGTTAAATCATTCCATATTTCCCTTCGACAGCAATTGGAAATAGAAAAAAGTTTGCATTATTTCTGGCGGTTGCAGTGACAGTAATAGTAAAAAGAGGTGGAATTATCTACTTTAACGGTTGCCGCGTTAATTACCTTAACCTTCATAAAGTTAACTTTTATAGACCAGTGAAATTAGCAAAACATTGAAACCTTTTTAATGAATATCTTAAAAACTATGCAAGACTGCCAGATAAATTAAGAAATGTTTGCCAAGAAAAGTTAAGAAATGTTCCTCAAAATCATGTACTTAACCCTTTCAGACTTGATATTCGTAAATATTATGTGCACGTACCTAACAATAAAAGACTGTTATTCAATATACCACCAATAATGATATATATTGTGAATAAAAAATAGTAGTATACTACTTCTCTGATAGAAATAGGTTCAAATATAGAGTATATATACAACAGACCACTCTGTCATAGCTTTAATATTTCATCAGTATTAACACTGACTCAAATTTGGGTGACACTATTTTTCATGTAAACTATAATATGAATTTTCTTGGTAACATATCGAACGAACCGAATTTTGTTGGATGTATGAGATATAAGAAAAATAGTTGAACAATTATTACGAAGAATCTTGACCTTTTAGTTTCTACTTAAGGAAGAAAACTGTTTCGAATACATGGAAGTTTTGACGAGTGTTTACTTGGTAGTCAAAGTGTTAAAAGTAGTGAAACAATGTACATTATAATGTGCGTCAGGTCTGAAGGTGTTAACCAATTAATTGGATTTGTCGAGTATACACGTCATCTTAAAACTCGAAATGATACTAATCTTTTCAGCGATGAATTAGTTATTTTTACAGATTACTTCAGTTTTTTATTAGAATATATTATAGATACATCTGCACTGTATTTGACGAGTATGTAATTCATTGCTTGAATTTATTGCGCACAATGAGAGATTTTTGAAACTAAATTCCATGGTTAACTGGTTAATAACGAATGTGAAGGTCAAAGTTATTTTCGCGATGTCCCTTAAAATTGACATTTACCAAATATGTAGTTAAAAGGATGTCTTATATATAAAGGATATAAAGATTTGAATAAAAAATATTTCAAGGAAAATATACATTAAGTTGAAAATTGATATATTATTATATGAAGCTTAATTTATATATGATAATTACTTGAATCGCGTACCACGTGCCTTTACACGGCTTCGTATATAAAGATAATAAGCTGCGATCAAACATAAAGTAATAAACAGTAAAATAAACGTGATCGAGATACAGAAAGATTTATGTTGTTTTAAGTAATTCTTCTTGTTGTGTAATTTATTCTCTTTCTTTTTCAATTTACGATTCTTGTGACTGAAAAAAATAGCATGAGTTAAGACATTTATATAATTTTATAATCAAAGCATATCTTATTCCAAATAATATTTTATGTACAAATATGAAATTAATTATTTAAAGAAGCAGAAGTTTCATTATACGGACTTAGTATAGCAGATTAACAGAAATAGCAGTAAATACCCAAAAATTACTTTTTCCTCTTCGTTTTTTCAATCCAGAGACTTAACACGTTCGCGGTCAACATTACAAAGTTGTAATGCTAAATATTTTGTATTTTCCATAGAGAAAATTAGATTATTCTCACGTGTGTTTGTATTCAAAATCGTAACTCGTGGTGTAAGGTTCCTTCCTTTGAAAGTGACGCGATATTTGTTTTTGAATTTTATTTGCATTTTATAAAGACTACCTCTCGCGTTTAATGGAATATTGTAACCATGAAAATTGCTATTGAAACAGTGCTGATCGTTAATGTGTTTAATGCGTTTTTTTTCGAAACTACATTTTTAGAGTTCGTGGTAAAGATAACTCAAAAGCTATTGGACCAATTGAGTTGAAATTTAATTTTAACATTAAATAAAAAATGCTAGTGTTTAATAGGGGAGAGAAGAGGAAAGAAAAGAAAGTATGGAAATAGAAAGAGGAAAAAATAGAAGAAGGGAGGAAAGAAGAGGAAGAAAGTAAAGTATGAGGGAAGAATAGTGAAGAGTGGTGTATCATCAATTTTCCAACTTTAACTTTATCGGATTTTTATGAGATGATAGTACACAAGTTTTTAAGAGTGTTCGGAAAATAGTAAATATAATTGCTCGATAGTTTTAAAAAAATGTACAATTCAAATTACTTACTTTTGAGATTTATCGCGAATAAAACCCAAAGTTTTTGGCGTTGTGTTGGCAAAGTGATATAGTTGCATGGCTGGTAAAGCGGAAGTCCAAGTAGACATCTGCAACAGGCGGATAGGTCTGGATATGGTCAAGTTTATTTTACACGCCTGAATCAAAGTGAAACGTGAGTCATTAAGTTCTTTTTATTCACGTGTTATGTTGTTGCTTTAATAATGTTAATTATATTGTAGGAATTATTTTAAAGGAAATCCTACGTAGTGTCGTAATATAGAGATAAAGGCTTACAAGACACGCAGGTTTACCAACAATAGAGTTTATTAACAAAAAAAGTAAATAATATAACAAGGCTCGCAGACTTTAATTCACTCGCTCATTGATTTGTACAGAAAGTCCTTTTTCAATTTCGACAAACACCCTTATGAACTTTAGATATCCGACAATATTATATAACATTATTTAAATATACAAGTTTTTAGATATGAAATAGTTATTATGGTAAAATCTTAAAATATTATAGCAAAATGACTAGTTACATAATTTGATAATTTAAATAATCTGTACATAAATACATCAATATGAATTTTTATTTATACTAATTACATTAATACCTTCTCCCTTTATTTCTCATTTAATATCTTTACAACAATATTTATTTTAATTATTACTGCTGGTATTTTTATTATTATTACTATATTATAGCTGACTATTTCTTCCGTCGTGGTATTTTCATCTGTGTTAAGTCATTCTTTTCCAGAAAAACCACTATCAGACCAAATGAAAGCCAATATTTGCGAGAGAAGTTTATCAGTCACGCAACTATGTTATTTTGCCAACTCAACTTGGATGATTTCAGATTGTATTAATGATACATTTCACATATGTATATGTAACTTTAATAATGTCTTAATTTGAGATCAAAACTGATACCATAATTTCATCTACTTAAATTTATGCGTACATATCTACCTAGAGAATTTAAATACTTATGATTGAATGCCCTGACTAATAAAATATAAAATTCTTACACAGTAGCCTGTACTGATGATGTATCAATTGCGCCATGGATTCTTTTGTGTCGTGGCATAGAGTGCCCAGAATGATCTTGATTAGTTCTTTTCTTCTTTTTCTTCTTTTTTCCTTTAATGGGCAAATGTTTATTATTTTTGGATGTATGTCTTCGCAACATCTTGCGTTCTGGAAATTCTAATGTATCGGCTAAAGCGTAATTTCCCGAATCGAGTAAGTTAATCGATCTGCGATTTTCTTTCACGTACTTTGCGAATTTAGGATATTTTAACAATTTTCGTGCAATTTCCATTGTTGAACGTCTTCCAGATTCTTTCGTTTCTGTTAAAATGAAAATTTGTTGTTGAACAACACGTCTTTGTTAAATTCTTAAGGGAGTATTCTCATTTTTATCCACAGTTTTAAGTCTTGCCTTGAGAATTTTTTTGTTAAATCTAGACGCTAGTTTTTATTGATTTTTCACGCCTATATTTACAATCATTTGAGCTACATTATACATTTCTTCTTAGACAAAATTGCAGAACTTACGCGTTATTAAAGAATGTCACTTTAAAATATCACGTCATGATGGTTGTTATGATTCCTCCCGATGTAGTGAATTGACACAAAGAAAAGGGGGACGATTGTTTTCTTCTTGTAGCAGTTTAAAAGTTTCTTGAAGATTTTGGTAAAAAAATCAAAACTTGAATTATAAAAATGAATTAAACAATTACATCTTGAGATATTATACAAACCATGTCAAAAAACAGGGTTTCGAGAAAAACATGTTTGAAATTTTTGTGACGTTTGCGTAGAGGGCAAATTGTCTTAGAAATTGGGAAACTATATATCGCATATTCACAGTTAATTTTCAATTCCAAGATCATACAGAAACAAATTAATATATCGATGTTATAACAATACGAAATGTGACATAATCTTTCAAAATACAATCGAAAGTCGAAAATAACTTTCGAAGTTGTTAAAGCTCAGTTGTTTTTTGTAATAACAACGATCAAAATATAAAGCATATGTACAAATAGCATTCTGAAACGATCATGTGTAAAGTTCATTAGAAATTGCTGAATGAGGTACATTTTTCTATTAAAGGGGCATTCTTAAGCAATGACATAATAATGCCGCAACTGTTCTCTTCAAATATCTGTAACTGCATTATTTTTAAGAATTTTAACGTATTCTTTGGCATAGGCATTTTAGAAAATAAACACTTTAAAAAATGGAAAGAAAAAAAACTATTCTTTCGAAGGTCAAAATGAGAATAACCCTTTAGGGGCTAAATATACACAAAATTCTATTTTATACTGATTAATTAACGATTCTGAAATATTTTGATTTAACTATTTTACTTGGGTAATCATTTGACCGTTGTATAAGATCCATAAAACATGCTTTCGTTGAAGTTGATAGGTTATCCAAATTTTCATTTAGTACTTCATGTATTTGTTTTTCACGTTCCACTTTCCCCTGACTTAATTCGCATACACCTTTTATTAATCGAAGATGTTCTGGAGGATTTAAGGGGCGAGACAAATGTACAGGCTCGATATTCTTGAGACCAATAACATACTGAGCGTGACATTTTTCCTTAAAAAAAAAAGATATTTTTATAGTATTTAATACATTCAAAAATTCAATTAAATAGTACAACGGTATTTTAATTATTTGAATATCATTCTCTTGAAATGTGCAATTCCGTAACATTAATCTGGTTATAGCAAAATTAAGCAATTTTATCTACAAATATTACGATTGCATAATACTCATGTTTCTATAGAATAATGAATAAAAAAATAGTGAAAATGAATACATATACAGGGTGTTGGAACTATTTTAGAGCACCGTTTTATTTGAAAATGGCATGTATAAGAAAAAAGATGGTAAAGCACAAAATTGTACTGTTTACAGTGATTAATGCAGTAGTGATAACAATTTTTTATGTTTACAATATTTTATGTTTGCATTCATTTTGGCTGCAGTGTTTGTATAAATTAGAAAAAAATGGCACTTCATTAAAAACATTGAAGATTACCTTATACCTTGAAATATAAAAAAGTAGGTCCTATTTATTCCGATCTTTATTAACTAAACGAACACCCATAAATGAAGGTGTAGCTGAAAAATTTGATCGTGATACGAAATTTTAACGTTTCATAATTTTTGAATCAATCATGATCGTCAAAAAGTTTAATGTGCTAGGCATTTAGAACAATGACCGTAACTAACATTGGTGTAGAGGATAACTGATTCCAATAACATTTATTCTGCTAACAGCGAAATAGCATATATTTTTATAATGATAATAAAGATATTTAGCGAATATCTGGAAAGCTAAAGCCAAGGGACAGTAACACGTATAAGGGAAAGTTATTTAAAATCATGCACCTGACATCATATTTCAAGCCCAACATCATCGGAGTTGCTTCCCCTAAATTGAATATTTACCAAAACTTCTTAAATACTTACTAATCAAGACATCGAATTAATATACTGATGTTATAACATTAGTAAATGTGACATAACCTTTCAAAATATAATCCAAAATCGAAAATAACTTTCAAAGTTAGTAAAGCTCACCTTGTTTCTTGTAAGAACGACGATCAAAATATAAAGCGTATGTACAAATATCATTTTGAGACGATCATGTTTAAAGTTCATTAGAAATTGCTAAACGAGTTACATTTTTCTATTAATAAAAATATACATACATCGAAAACTTCTACAACTGACAGTCGCTTCGATTAAATTGATTATCGTGTAGCAGTCTAATCACTAAACGGATATAGATGTACATTGCTGGTCAAAAGTTTGGGACTACTACGGCGGTTAACCCTTTGCACTCGAGAGGTGACTTCTGTTACCACTTGATTAGATACTGCAAAACTATAAAATTTAATATTTAATATTAGTTATTTAACATTAGTTTTCCATGAAATATATAAAATATTAAATATATTAAATATTAAACTTTGTATCCACTGTGTGAAACATTGAAATGAAATAGTTTTATTCGTCAATTCATGTGTCAATTATCGTTACATTAGTTTCGAAAAACTTCGTCTATATCTCATCAGAAATTGTTGAATATTTCTAATGAAAAACTTTCATGTTTAACGTTGACTGCCACGATGGTTGTCTATTACAGGAGCTTCCAAATTAATCGAAAACAATTATAATTTGTAAGACAACTAATGTCGAACAAAAATGTTCAATAATGTAAATAACTATGCCATAGTGTAATGTAAGAATATTAATTTAAAAACTTAGTAATGTTTCCTGTTTAACTTTCCTACGAAAGAATAAGTGACGTATGAAACACTGAGGTTTTTCGTGACAATCAACGTGTTAAACATACGGTCGGTGGTCAAATATATTAAATTTTCAATAATAGTATCTTAAACCTTTTTTACGTAAAATGACGCAAAAAACAAATTATGTAAAAAAACCCAGGTTTTCTTGAAAAAGAAATTTGCAATTACACTTTGCAACTGCATCGATGCATTTATGAAAAAACTGTGATTGTAGTATGATAGTACCTGTGAAATAGTACAGAGTTTATGATTTTTTTTTAACTTCAATAGGAACAGAATTATAACCTGTCCTAGTTACTATATATACTTTATATATGTAAATAATTTCAAATATTTGTCATCAAACATGCAATTGGTCCCAAATTTTTTATTGTCAGTGTACGTGTGTAAATTTGTAAATATAGGAGCAAACCTATTTCAGCATCAGAATTCAGTCAAAATTTAATTTCATCTACTGAGTGTATCAAATAAATAATAAAATAAATAATGAAAACAGTATTGCACTTAAGTGACATATCTGTAAAATATATAAATTTCACAATTTATAAATCACTTTATTGATTAGAATGTACAATAAATCATTTAGCATCTGAGAATACATTCACGTAAACGCGAGAATGAAGTCCATAAATAATATGTAGAGTAGTTGGCTGTGAAGTGAGATCATTATTTTCTGGAATGAATTCTTTAGGGTAATCATTTTCGTCAATGAGGTTATTTAAATATTATTGGTGCAGTAAAATAAGATCCTTGTACTTATTTTAACATTTGTTTGTACCAAGTACGTATATTATGCCATTAAATAGACTTTTCTTTTGTATTCTTCAGCTTCATATCTCTGTAAACCCTTTTATAACCAATTATGTGTGTAGCAAAGGATTTACTAAGTAACTTTTTTCTACTACAGATGCGAATGATTATTTTTCTTATTGTCCCCGCCACGAAGATGTGATTACTACAAAGAATCTTTGAAAAATGTAAAAGAAATGTGGAATTTTTAAAACCCTCAATGTACTTGGGAAATATTTTCAAATATGCCCTCTTCTTACTTCTACTCTATTTAGCTACATCCATTTTGCAGGTACATTCGCTTTAAAATTTAATTTTTATACTATCTTCCTGTTAAGAAAAGAGAAATTTAAGTGAAAAAATAACATAAATATTTGCAAACGCTGTTTCAATTTTCTTTGAGGGTTGTTATATATTTTATCTAATTCGCAAAGATTATTACCGAAATCGATGTACCCGAACTCCAACTATTAGCATCAAATTTAAAACCAGAGGAGTGTGTGAAACTTGTCTCTTTAGATTCTCAGTGTAAGTAAACATATCTGTAATTTATCATAATATATTAGTATAAAGTCAGTGATGGATTCAGCATAAAAAATACTCCAATACTATATTTGTCTTTGTTTCTGACAATAAGTCATAGCTATTTTCATGTTATATTAATGTTTATTAATTTATAATATGGTTTCTTAGCATCACTATCAGACGAAGAAATACAGAAACTAGCCGAAGAGCAAAGCTGCTTCCGAAGACTCGTGAAATGGATTTGCCAATTAAGAACAGTTACAAAGAATACGTGTCCAATTGTAAACGACCTTCTTGAACGAATTGGAAGGGAAGACTTAGTTGCATGTCACACCGAACATAATATGAAACCTTCGAAGACGCCAAAAGTGATTCGCGAAGTTCAATTAGCTGAAGATTCAGAGTAAGAGTTCCTTAACACGTTATCTACTGGACAGCTATTAATAGACTTTTCAAAAACTTGTGATTTTATATTAACACTAAACCTATCAGACGGGTCAAAATGGCACATTCCTGGTTTCTTGTTTCTGCAATTATTAAAGAGCTGATAAACATTTCTTTGAGAAAATATTAAAGGATTTGATTTAGCAATATGCAAACTGAATTGTAAATCAATTAATATCTCAATAGATACATTCTTGGAGTTTATATAGAGGAATTTCAAAAAGTCAATTGTATTGCTCGGTAGCTTTAGTGTGAAGAACGGGTTAATCATTTTCTTTGACCAATAGTTCTCAAATAATAATTACATGTTACTCAATGTGATTTGCTAATTCAAACCTTTATCCTTAGACATTGAGGTTTAACACATTTGCGGCCGCTGACGTAAATTCACATCTTTTTAAATATATTAACTTTTCAAAATATTTTATGCTTCTGCTCCTTTCCATTCGCGACTTCTTTAACGAAAAGTTCTTCATTTCAACGCTAGAAATGTAGGCAATTAGCTTACGGTTTTCTTCAGTTTCACCGGCAATGAATATTTGAAAAGCGAACAATTTTCCGGTCATGAATATGTTAATCCTCAAGAAACCTCAATAATTGTCGGTAGATAAGGTTATTGTATTTGCATTTGTATGTATTTTCAAACATAATTCTACGAGATATGTTTATTCTTTTATTAAACCCAATATGATTAACTGACGCTAGAAAATTGCGAAAACCTGAAAATATTAGGACTTGGGTGATCGGGTCGAGTCAGATAGGGTCAGGTTTCCGAAAGAATCAGATATAAGTAAAAATAAGATTATTTGTAGGTCTGAGTAAAGAAAAGTAATAAATATAATGAAATATAACCAAATTTTATTTGCTTATTATGTTTACTGTATATTTTATACCTTATAATTTTAGAAATTTCGGAAACCCGAGCCGAACTTGAAAAAAATACCCGACTCGATCCCAATATTTTCGAGTTCTCGTACACCTCTTATAACTGATACCTCACGATAACTGTAAAAGAGTTAAAGTTATCTATACATCATTATTAATTAAGCCGTGCTCCTACTTATTTTTATCGTATAAATGTCCATTATTTTAAACTCCCTGTATATTAGTACAAATAGCAGGAAACTTGGTTTCATAATATTTATTTCTTTTTTATACTATTATTTCCTTTATACCAAAATATTTTATTTTAATTACACTTTTGTTTTATTTTTCCTGTATCTCCTCTCATTAATTATAAAACAGATTTATGATATTATATGGACAGACGTTGAAGTAGTTCAAAATGTTCATGATCATATTCTTCATGTATTCTATAATACTCTGTTAATTATTTCCAATAAAAAAGGTTTTCAGTATCTTAAAATTAAGATAAGTATATTAAAATTCTTCTTTCCAGAGATGACGAAGGAGCCGCAGCAATTGCAGCGCCAACCAATACATCCAATGCAACAAATACTAAATCGGACAGTCAGAATTTAAATCAAACAACAAGTAAAATTAGTGGTAATAAACAATCTTACTAATCCTATAATTTTGTTTAATTGTTCACTTCACCGTTAAAATTGTTCCGATAAGCCATAGGACGAGCAACCTTCAATGTATCTCTACGGACCGCAGGAATCGTAATAGCATCTACGATACTTCTAACTTGTTGTTGCACTTTATTTGTAAGAAACAGGCTTGCGAATTTATGCAGTAAAATATTCCGAAGAAAAAAAAAGAAGAAAGGGTAAATAACATTTCCAAATATTTGATGTATGTAATTATATTCACCGTACTAGAAAAATATTGACCAAACAGAGTACTGGGTTAGACATGAGTATAACACTTTGTATATATTTATTCCTATCATAATGAGCTATGTAACTGGTTACAAAAGAAAGGTAAACAAGCTAAATGATACATTTTTCTTAATGGAAACAAAAACAAAAGGAAAGATAAAAATTGAGAACTGATTAATCGAACAACATAGGAATTGATATAAAGTTAAATGAATGAAAGAAAACCCAGAATTTTGAGTTAAATTTTAAAATCGATCATTTGACTGGTTCGCGGTTCGGTTAGTGTTAATCACAATAAAAAATTGGTTAAAAATTAGATTAGTTAAATCAATATAAAAGTTCTTATCTTGGTTACTAAGTAATCTGCAAATAATCATGATCTTTTTATATGGTAACTGTTACATAAGGAACATTGATGACTAAAAATTGAGCAAACTCAAGCCGAGTACCCGAGACGTTCGAATACACAAGATTTTTTCAAAAATAAAAAGTTCAAATGAAAATGACATTAAAACAAGAAGTTGAAATTCATCTTCTTTAATTAATAAATATTTTTCAATATCATTTTACTCAAGTATATTGTCATATGGAAATTATTAAGACAATGTAAATCACATTGTACGATAAAGTTTTTATTTAATATAAATCTATGTACAAGTAGAATTTCGAATATATCGGAAAAACTCATCTAGTGATCTGAGCCAGTAACTTCTAAATACCACTTGACTGTACCAATTCGAGTTGAAGTCTCGAATACCCAATATATTCGAGTAAATACGCGTACATCCTTATTATTTATAAAGTTGCTTAACATATTACGTACCGTGAGCACATATTTATGCAATTGATTAGACTTACGCAAAACAAAAAAGTTGTTTTATTTAGGTTTCTGAAGCTAAAAAGAGTTTTAAATATATTTGGTTACTTTTAATTTCACCCGGGACCAGAAATTTTCTTAGAAACAATTGCGGTACGTAATGTGAAGTAACTGCTAGTAGGTAATGTGTTAATAAAATGTTATATAGCGGACATTGGATAATTGCAATATCGTCATTCCCACTATATCCCTACCAGTTTCCTTTTAATCAGTTAACTGCGTTCGACGAGTATAACGTCATCTTAAAACGCAAAGTGGTACTAACTTTTTCAACGAAAATTATTTTATCAGATAAACGTTTAATTCTTCTTTGTTTCGCCATATTTTTTCGTTATAATATATTATAAATTCATTCGCTCTGTATTTGACAACTATATGCTTTATTATTTGATTTTATTGCGCACATAGTGAAAGATTTTACAAACAGATTTTCCACAGTTAACACTCAGAGCGCTCGATAACCGATCAAGAATGAATGGTACAACATTATCCGACCTTTGTCGTACTCGACGATTTCAACGTTCCTTTCTTCTCTATTCGCAGTCCTTTTCTATATCCGAAACATCAGTCGCTTATTATGCAAACAATTACGATCGTATGTAACTCTATCGTGTTTGGTGTCATTTTAATCAGAAAAACATAACAAACATGATGAAAGTTTCATTCATAAAAAATCGAAAGAAAAGTGTTTGATTTTTGAGTTAAAGGTCTGAAACTCATCGTGAGCCTTTAATATTTCTGAACGCTTCGACTAGTGGTCTTTCTTTTCCTTTTATTCGCCTTGTCCTTTTCTACGTCCGCCATGCTGAAATTTTCGTTTCTTGGGATGGATTTGATTTATACCTCTTCATAATTGTAACCTTCCGGTCACTTTGAGCGTCGCAATTATCTATGTTCGCTATATTTTCTTTTTAAAACGATATACTTGAAATATTGCTACAAGTGTATTCGTTGTTTAGGAAATTAATAGCAATTGATACGGACGACGCAGCGGACGTATCCAGAAGTTATTATATGAGAAAACCTCGAGCAAAGAGGAAGAGAGCGCCATCCTACGAATTAATTAACACGGGTACACAGAACACCATGCTCGTTGCACCCGCAGAACCAGAAGAACCACCACCAACAGGGTGTTACAAATGTTACAAGAAGAAAAGAAAGAAAAGTACGAGAAGGCCTCACAGATGAGGCGTGTAAATTATTAAACGATTGCGTAAAACTTTTATTAGTTATTCTATGATTTTTACGTGTGTTTATTATAATAGCTGTTCAGAACGATTAACAAACAGCCGTAAGTCTTTTACTCGTAATTTGCGACCATTTTGAATAAAAAATTTTATCACAATAGTGTATTAATTGAGAAATTAGTTAAGCGTAATTTTTAAGTGATATGTTCAGGAAAATTCGGAAGATTCTGTTCTATTACCTATTAAATTGTAATACGAAATTTGTAGAAAATAATTGCAGAAATTTACAAATGTAGAAATGCACACTTTAAACAACTTTTTCCTGTAACAGATGTTTTGCGACCTTATAGTTTACGAGATAATCGCGAAAAACTTGCTATTACTTCATTGAATTCTATACACAGTAAGTAACAAAACTGATTCAATGATTAAAGTATAATTATTAAATTATGAACAGTAAGGTATACATCAAATATCCATACCAGTAACATTCTGCATTGTTTAAGCTAACATAAACAGTTTTGAAACATTTTGTTCTCCCATCTCATCTTTTGTGTCTCTTTTCGTTTGTTATTACGAATAAATATTCATTGAATCAATTTTCCACCATCTTTTCTATAATATAGTTTCCTTAACTTTAAAAAATGTCTAATACTTTGTTGAACGTTCTTTTACTTTGCAAACTACATTAAGTTACTTCAGCATTGATTCTATTAGTTATTATTCTTTTACTACAATAACAATTAAGAACATATTAATACTGACAATTACTTATTATCTTATAAATAATTGTTATTATTTCTATAGAAGTTACTATCCTACTGAATAGCTATACAAATGTCAGTTGTTTTTTCAAAGACGTGAAGTGGTATCATTTTATTAACCTTCGATAACGGAAATGTTTTTAATAACGTGTTGTCTATGCTTTATTGTAATTCTATCACAGCACAAAGTTCTCAGTACAATCGATGTTAACATCAATGAATTGGAGTACTTGGCTTCACGTCTCAACCCTTTCGAGTGTCGACGATTAATTGCTGCTCTCCATTATACTGCCTATGAATTACCAAATAATCTAGCAGAAGCTGGTAAGTTGATAAGAAATCTTGCGTCGCCGAAGTGGAACGACTTTTATATAAAATCATCTGTGTGATTTCTATATAATCATTATAATTATTTTCCTTATAATTAAAAAATTGCTATTTCTAGAACGTGATAGTAGTTTTAAAATATAAAAAGTATTCGTAATTTTATAAGAGCGCAATGTAGACGACGACATACCTTGTATTCGACACCTGATCCATTGGAACAGCTCTCCTGCTGAAGGCAAGGGGAAAACGCACGAATCTTTAGCACACAGGTTGCGTCAAATAAATCGTAATGAGTTAGCTGATTGGTTGGGTAAATCTGCATTCACACAATTAGGGAAAGATCTCAGTAGAGCTGTTGAGAATTCGTTCACTGAACTCGCTAAAGAGGAAAGAGAATTTGCGTGAGTAAATATTTTTCCTCGACTGTAATGTGTTAATTAATTGAACAGGGAGAATGAACACTGACTTTTGTTACGTATCATATTTATACTTGCAATTTAACTTATGTTTCTACAGTCGAAATTAGTCTTTTTAAAAACAGAACATGTTTCTGATTTTCCGATAAAATAACAATAATACAAAAGCTTACAATACTGAGAATTAAAAGTTTTTAATGGTTTTCTCTAAAATATCGAACATCGTGTACAAAATGCAGTTTAATTTCCTATTCATTTGTAAATATTAAAAACTGTGATAGAAACAAAATCTATTTATTATTGTTGTAAGTACGCATGATCTACGAGGATAATATTAAGTTTCACAAGTTTTAAAATTATTCAATAATATAAAACTTATGAATACAAATTATTACTGATATAAGAAACAAAATATTTTCTCTTTAACCTAGCACGTTGATAATTTTCCTGATATATTTATCATTTTTATTTCCACTGTCCTATGCTGCTAGTCAAAAGTACAATTCTAGATGAATATAATATTTCTTCCGTAAATTTGAGACACTCAGAAAGTTCAACGTGTTAAGTAGTAGTGGAAACTTTTTCGTCTTCGTTCTCCGTAGCTGACACGCATCGCTTTTAACACATTTACATCGGGCAATGTTTGCTAAAACTTTCCTAGAAAACGGAATATTTTAATAGCATAAAAATATTACAATAATTATTTTGTAATTAATATATAACGTAATATGTAATTTAGTATCTTAATGCACACATTCGAGAATTCTCGTATCCTGATCAGAATGTGTTAATCTTTTTCGAAAGTCTAAGTTCCTGAACAGTACTACTTAATGTCATAACAAGCATAATGAAATTATTTCAATATAATTACAAAATAATAATGAACGATTTTTTTACAATTACAGTGTTCCAGTAACTCTTGTACCCAAACCGTATGATGAAAGTGATCCATGGATACAAATTGACATCATTCTCCTGGCAGTTTTACTTGGATTATTAGGAACTTTACTAACACTGATATGTGCCACAATATTTCATAAAATACGGGATTATTTTCATAATAGATACAAGTACGAATATGATTTAACTTATTATGTTACTATCAGTTTTAAAATCTGAAGTAAATCCATGACAACTATAAAATGTGTGAACGTGATGATAACAAAGAGGCAGAAGAACGACAAAAAAACGAGATATGCCACTTATGCCTATTAATTAGTAGGACTATCTAGCAGATCTTGTTTCTTTTCAGTTTCTTTCAATTAAAAATTGTTGATAGGAAATTCCAATTGACGACTTTCACTTTATATTGATGATCGGAGATATTAATAGAAAATATAAATATAAAGTATTCTAATCTCTCTGTTTATTCATATACGAAATTTATGGAAAAGGTCAAAATACATTCTAGCTACAGGAATACATAATAGAAAAATTATAATTCCAAAATCCTAATAATCTTAGTTACAATTCTACGTTATTTGAGCGTTTATCTAATATTTCATAAACATATTTTTGCGCATGTATTGCTTAATGAATCTATTTGACACCTTCGTTATAGCACAGCTTATATTTTTCTTACTTTATTGTGCCACTTTATACAATATGGTTCAATAATTTGCTTTATTTAATTTATAGGAAATTAAACGAGAAAGACACAGATAGCGAAAACGAGAATACTTCGGAAAAGGAAAAGAAGATAATATACAGTACTGAAAGTAGCGATGAAAATACCGAATATGCCTATATCGACAGTGAAACAGAGATGGATTTCCGTTGAAAATGTCTTTAATTATTCAAATTTACAGTTTTAAAAATTAAAAAATTTAATTAAAAGGGGGGGTGCAGTCATGAACTTATAATAGCTAGAGATTTTTCCCTGTATTTTAAAGTTGAAATTGATTTAGCTGTATTCTTGCAATATTACTAAAATATACATATTTATAGTTCTAACCATCATTTATTAATATAATTTTTGTTATTCTGATTTTTGTTTGAATATGTACAGTAGCTCACGAAAGTATTTTAACACTTACTATGAAATACTTTATTAATTATAATAAATATATTATACAAGTCTTATACCTAAATATTATAAACATTGTAAGGTTTTATGACTCTTTACATGATATAAGTAAAGTTCCAAGAAAATCGGAACATATATATAATAGTTACGAATTATTTCTTATAAATATAACGATTGCTGAAGCCACAAAAGTATTTGAACACACAGAAATGAGTGCCAAGAATCAATGAAAACACAGTTTTCCGAGCACTGAATGTAAACATTGAAACATTAGTCGTCATCGTATATACATTTGTCAGTCAGTCTAGCATTTATGGTGAAATATTGCGATATTACTCATGTGTCTTAAAACATCTAAAACTCCAGAGAATCAGAGAAAATTAATTGTCAAGTGGCGTAAAGAAGAAAAGACGTATGGTGAAATAAGTAAATTATTAAATATAAATAGATCTACATTATATTATAAAAAATACATGGTATTATAAAAAAAATGGAAATCTGAAGGAACTGTAAAAAATAAATACCGTTCAGGCCGACCAAATTTGATACGAATACTGTAGTTTAAATAAAAATATATATTGAACTTCATTTTTATTTGTCAAAATTTCAATTATTAAAATAAAAACTGTTGGTATATAATTTATTGAAGAATTTTCTACTACTGTATAATTAAGCAAAATGATGTCTTATAGAAATTTTACAGCTGTATTATACGCGTCTTATATATTTATTGCCGCCAAATCTTATGATACAATCGTAGCAAAAATTAAGTATATAGATAATCTGACTCCTACTAACAAGCCTATATTTTTTCATTATTGGTAACGTCGAGTGTGGCATTGAAATGGTACGGGGTTTGAGACCCCCGAAGCTTACACAAAAATTCCTATAAACGTCTGTGTATATCCTGAATCTGCTTTTATTGAAAAGCTATTGAAAAGATATTGATCTTTTTTCTAATTCCTATCACTTATAGGAATGCCATGCAATACTAGCCTAAGTCGATATGACAGGACGTCACACAAAAGTGGTAAGAGATCGTGTAACAAAATTTCACATTGTTTGTTATGCTATCCTATACCTCGTCTATGATATTAAATTCATGTGTTATACAGCGACTCTGAAAAATTTAATCACGTAAACGGCTCTCAACAGTGGGTAAGTATATGTATAAATGGTAATTCTATCGACTAATGGTAATTGTATCGACCAAAAATGTGAACATGGTTCTTAGACTAATTTCTACTTTTTCTTAAAGTTGATAAACTCAGTTAAAATTATATTGCTGTGTAATATGAAGGCAGAAGTATTTATGTAGTTAGAAACCTTTCCTAAATCCAAGTGGATTAAAGTATTTCATAGTTACCTTCGGAGTTTATACAATATTTTAATAACTTGCTGAAGTTTCTATGTCAAGTCCCATACATTTCAATATGTTTTGAAAATTTTTAAAATTCATCCAACTGTTGCAGTCACCAGAACTGTTCGAATATTAAAAAAAATTTATTAACAATACGTGATCAAAGTATATAAGCACCTCGGAATAGAAAATCTGAGGAGAACCAATTTTTGCTACTAGAGCACGAAGTTTATGTGAAAATATTTTACAAGATTTTATATCCAGCTAACATTTTTTAAGTTCTACTACCTTGTGTGAGTTTCTTTAAATGTATATGTAGCGAATTACATGTAGTTTTGACATATTGAATATTAATACATGACTTAACTAGGTGTAATTTCATAAGATCTTTATTTAAGCTATTACAAATGTATCGCGTATGATGACCGTGTGTCCTATTTTTCTGCGTGCATCTGAGATGTGTCGTTGCAATTGTAATTACAATTAGTCGTAGCATATTGTCGTTAACTCCTTCCGATATTATGATGAGTCAGACTTATGGTAACAATTTCAAGCCAAATATAAATATTTGATAATTTGATATTTAAAATTATCTAATATCTGAAAACTTTCTGTTTGCTTTCCGTTCCATAATTTCACCAACGAAATTACTGATTGCGCATTCAAATATGTTAATGGATAATACACAGATATAGTCGATATCTCTGGACACTCGACGTCTAAGTTAACTAAAAAAAATAATTATAAATACACATGAGAAACTCGCAATGAAGTGTGTAAATAGTTATTGGATCTGATACAGTAAACTTTCGATATGGCTCTATTCTAAAATGTATGCGTCATATTAGATATAAGTAATTTGCTTCTTTATAGTAAATTGTATGAATATTTCACAAATTTATTGTATAAAGTTTTCTACAATTTAACTTGATTGGCATTTGTAAATGACAGGGAAGTAATATAATAATCAGTTGTTCTCTGTTTTAATTTTCAGGTTAATAAATATGTATAAAATTTTTGTCTCGATAGTCGTGGAAGAACAAAAAAAAATTAACAAAAACTGTAATTTAACATTCGGAATGGACAATAGTAGATAATAAATGATTTTTTATGACAGTAATTGATGATAATCTGCGAGGAAATATTCGACGCATAACCGAAATTTTGAAGCGGTTCACCTCTAAAACGAAAGGTGAACATTTAACTAAAACTTCAAAGTATTTGAAATGTAACGAATCTAATATATACAGTTACGCAATGAGGAAATTAGTGGAAATTCAAAAAAGTGGAATTATAGAAAAGTTAAACGTGGCTTGTAATATTCTTAAAGTCAAATGCTTCGTATACATATATTTGCCACACCGTTTTCAGTCGTACTGCTTCTGATCTCCTTTTCAATATGGCTTTGTATATGTCGTTGGGGATTTCGGTATAACTTGAAAGACAGAGAAGTAATTTTTTCGTTATTAATTAATATATAATATGTCAATATCGTTGTTGTTATCAATTATAATAAGAGGTTTTTCTATTTCGTTGTTTTAATAAGAACAGGAAATTTCTAAAATAACATAATTTTCCTCATTCTTACGAAGATTATTAAAAATAACTAAGAAAAACATATATAGTAATTACTGCAAAACCGTGTTGTTAAAACACGTAGAGAATATAAGCTAAAACATAAACATTAATTGAGAAGCCAATGTTTTCTCCGTTGTTTGGCTGCACCCGATTTCACATTGATTAGGTACAATATTCTAAGAAATATTCGTCAATGTCAAAAATCAAAATCAATTACTTCAATAGCTTTTTTGATTAATACTTTTTTTGGCTTCTTTCTATACTCCCAATAATGTTTTGCAAATATGCTTTACATAATCATTATACGTATTTAAAACATGTAAAAGAATAATTTTAATCTTACCAAGCAGAAAAACCTTTTAATCTTAAATTCTCATTCGTATTTAAATGTAAATAAATCGTCGATAATTGGTAAATAATTGGTTTATGTACTTCACTAATCTGTTTATATGTTTAGATCCTTTCCTGTCTGGTGCTATATTTTATCGTGATTACGTTGTTGAATATGCTCTTTTTGGGTCATATACAATTTAACTGTAGTTATTCCCAAATTACAAGGAAATAATTTTTGTCAATTACAGCAAGTAAATACAATAAATAATTGTAGGTATGTTTTCAATTATTTCTTACCTATTTCATTTTTAAAAATGTAGATACATATAAATAGATAGATAGGGAATAATATCTAATCTATGAATGAAATCAGAATAATGAAAAAAATATTAAACGTCTTATACTAGCTCATATATCATTCGTTTTTTATTATTATATATACATAAAAACGGATAAAAAACAAAATAAACTTATTTTTAAAAGTATGTAACATGTCAAGGAATCGATAGAAAAGATTGATCGATTCTATTTATCGAAACGTGTTTGCATGGAGTTCTTAGGTTTGGTACAGTTAGCAGTGTGGCGCTTTAATTGTTGATTGTAATTTAAGAAATTATTTACACTTATCTACAAGACAAGGTACATTTTATTATTTATACATGATTAATATTTGTACTAATTTGATTGGCAAATTGATATATTTGTGTGTATTTCATATTTTTTAAATATACCTAACCTACAAATCTAGTAAATATGAATCATACTATGGAATATGTAAATGTACGTATAATAATTATTGAAACAATTAGTTTGTATATTCAACTTATACATCGTTGAAAATTCGATTATGATTTATATTTATTTGAGTCTAATATATTTCTGGATTAAACAAAACATTTAAAAAATATGAATTAATTCCAACTACTTCTTACTATGAATTTTATTTTAAGTAACATATTCAGCAAAAGGCAAAGGGACCAATATTTACATTATTAAATGTCATTACATATATGGAAAAGTAAGATTCTAATATGTAATTTACACGCCAATGTATAATATTTTGTTGGGTTATGTATTCGTATGGTAGTATCTTCTTTGATACACATAAGAGGCACGATGTAACTAATACATTTTGATCAAAATAGACAGTTTAATGAGTGAATTTAGATTAATACATTTGAAACTGATGTAGTAATTATAAAATTGAATGTTATCTACAATAAAGAAACTTCCAAAATTAGTTATAAAAAGAGATTAACTCATGAAATATCAATCATAAATAAATACTAATGATTATCGTTGTATGACTACTTTTGCCCTAAAGAAATTTTTAGATATCATATGTTATCGTGTATTATATTACGTTTTGTTATCTCCATATTGCTATAATTATCTGTGTATAAAATATAAATATATTTAAATACATTTAATATAAAACTCTATGTTTGTTGAGCTTTCATCGATAATAATAAATATTTACTGTCTATATGTATTTATTAATATTATATATTATTAAAAAGGCGTAATATCATTTTTTAGTTTACAAGGAATGAAACAAACATATAACACGAAATATAAACTCTAATGAAAAGACTGTTTTGATAAATAAATTTTGTTTTCAGATGGTTATACCAAAACATGCTCAATTCATTTCTAGAACTGTTATGGTATTAAATAAAGATGTTGAGCAGGCTTGTAGAAGATTAAATTATATAATGGCGAAGGAGGGCTTCTTTCAGCAATTCAGACGCACTAGGTACTATGAGAAACCCACACAAACAAGGCGGAGGGTTAATTATGAAAAATGTAAAGCGATTTACAATGAGGATATGAGCAGGAAAATTAAATTTCTCATGAGAACAAACAGAGAAGATCCATGGCCTGGATGTTCTTCTTTATAATGAATATTATCTCATGTCAAATTGTTATTTAGATTTCTATAACATGGCAAAGTGTTTATAGTTTCATGTACAATTCTATATAAAATAATATCTAATAAAAAAGCATTGGTGATATAAAGTGTGATTATTTATAACATATGACATTTAGCTATTTCTTTAGTATTTAGCTACTTATGCTATTTCATGCATAAACAGTAACATGGTGTCATGCTCAATACTAATTAATTAATTGGATTTTATTACAAAATTTTAATAAACATACACGTATACAAGATTTTAAAATATATTTATTTAATGTAACAGTTATATACTTGTGTTACTATATGTAAGCAGTTTCGATTGTAGGGATAATATTCATGTTGTGAAATTAACATATTTATCATCATTAAAGTCAGTATATTTATTTAAATGTACATGTGAATTTATACTGTATCTGGTTTTATAAAATATAATGAAACAGATATGCCAATAAATTGTCATACTGATCTTTTATT